TATCGACATTATCGACGAATAATTAAAACGACGGAAGAAAAAAACGAATGGAGCACAAAAAATGAATCTGATTATCCTATAGGTAGATAGTATACATAAAATAAAATTAAAGAAGAAAGGTAAAGTATATATATATATATTATATATATAATATATGTATTAAATATATATATATATATATATATATATATAAATATATATATTAAATATATATATATAATATATATAATAAATATTTATATAATATATATATATATATAAATATACGGTGAAAGAGAGAGAGAAAGAGAAAGAGAAAGAGAGAGAGATAGAGAGAGAGAGAGAGAGAGAGGAGATGTGTATTGTAAGATATTTAATACCGAAAAGACATTGTCATAGGCACACCAGATTGATGATCGAGAATGAGGAAACGACGAATGATAATAACGATAATAATAACAATAATAATATTAATAAACGTTCTTCACGATCACGATCGTTGGCGAACCTTGCGAACGACGACGATGTATGATACTCTAAACTATAATTCGCGTGTAGCTAATATAGTGGCCCAACCGTTACCCAATAAATCGATGTGTCGATGTATCCCGGACGTGTTCTGGTCGTTTGAACGCGACCGCGAAAAGAAATTGAGATTAGTGTGCTATTAATTATGGGAGTGAGAAAGAAAAGGAAAAAAGAGAGAGAGAGAGACAGAGACAGAGATAGAGATAGCGATAGAAAAAGAGGGAGGGAGGGAGAGAGACAGAGAGAATATTTATCGTTTTTTTAATCGTTCCGATCGAATACGAAAGCGATTAGAAACGGACCATGACACGCCCGGCAGCAATTAGCAATAATATAAACATTCCAACGTAACAAAAGAAAGAATGAAAGAAGGAAAGAATGATCGAGAAAAAAAAAAAAAAAAAAAAAGAAAACAGAAGAAGAAAAAAAGACGAGTAAAGAAAAGAATACAACGGGCACATAAATGCGACTTCTATTAATAATGTGTGCGCCGTCGTACGAGAGAGAGTAATGGATGAAGAAGAGAAAAAGTAAGAAAAAAAGAAAAAAAAAAAAAAACAAAAAAAAAAAAAACATTGTCAAATACATGCTCATACACTGCTAATCGTCGTTCTAATAACCCTCTCTAAATCTTCCTCCATCAATCGTAATTGGAAGGTGAGTAAAAAAGAAATAAAAATAAAACTATCCACCAAATTTTACTAAGCAAAAAAAAAAAAAAAAAAAAAAAAGAAAAAAGAAAGAAAAAAAAAATTCCCATGCGGTTCAACGTTCTCATAGAAGGAAATATAACGACAAGGAATAGTATAGAAACTATAAAAGTAGTAAAGTAGTATAGAATATGAATGAAACGGGATTTGGAGTGGTACTCGATCGTGCAAATCCATTCTCGAAGCGAAGTTCCTCTTTAGAAGCGAAAGCCAAAATCAAACATGCCGTTTCTCTTGACGTATTCGAAGGACACCGTGGAACGATAGCGATGATGATGGTGGTGATGGTATTGCGTCGTGGGTTCGTTATTTGCCAGGGATAGTCGAGAAGGTATTATTAGGGGTCCCCGCGTACAAGTTAGGGCCGTGGGCAAAGGGCGGTAGGTACGTGTCTCGGCTTGACGGTCTCTCCACTCCAATTCCGACCGTTGATTTCCTCGGTAGTGGGCTTTCAAGGGTACCCCAAATAACGTAAAAAAATCCTCTCACCTCCCTCCCTCTCTCCCTCCTCCTTTTCATCTTCGACCGGCGGAGGGCCGAGGGGAGGTTACGGAAAATGAAAGAATGAAACGGGACGCGAGAAATAGATAGATAGATAGATAGATAGATAGATAAAAAGAGAAGGAGACAGGGAGAGTGAGAGAGAGAGAGAGAGAAAAAAAGGTCCCCCAATCTCGATCCCTCTTACCACCTCGTTGACACCCTCCTTTCTAGTACATACCGACTCGAATAGTATAAGCACCCCTTCCAGCTTCCTTCTTAACGCGCTCAAGTGTTTGATCTGGAAATCACGCGTCTGGGACCAGAGAACTGCGTACGATGACGATGATGACGACAACAACGACGACAACGACGATGACGACGAAGCCGTTAAGTTTCACCCTCTTTCTCTCTCTCTCTCTCTCTCTCTCTCTCTCTTTCTCATGCTCTTAAAGAGCATTCACGCGCCACCAGGCCGAAATTGATCCCTCGTACGAGACCTCCTCGTCTCGGCTCTTCGAGATCCCAAGATTAAACTCTTTTGCTCCGTAAGCCTGTTTCGTGAAGCTGCGCCACCGGATATTTTATCTCACCGGATAATTCCCACCGTACCCCCCGTCTCGCGTATAATAATAATAATAATAATAATAATAATCATAATGATTCTTTTTTCTTTCTTTGTCGAGTTTTACGAAGTTTAAAGGCGATAACCTTTCAATCTAATATTAAAAAGGAAATATTGAAAATTATAAATCAGATATAAATGATAGGTAATCTAATTGATTTATTTCGATCAATTTTATCTGTAAACTCGATTAGTAGGTTGTAAAGCTTGTTTCGTTTTACTCGCAAAGTTGGAAAGGAGGAGATGCATGGAATTATGCGGGACGGTCCGAAACGCAGATTTTCAGGTTCGACGAGAACGCAGCAGGAGGAGAGTATTGGAAGATTTACTAAAAAGAGAGAGAGAGAGAGAGAGAGAGAGAGAGAGAGAGAGAGAGAGAGAGAGAGAGAGAGAAAGAGAGGAAGACAGCATGTTCAGGCGAGAAGGAGGTCCGATAGGGTACCTGCGGGTTCCAATTAAGATCTCTCAATTAGCGTATCTTATCTCTTGGTTGCTTATCCGTCGAGAGAGCGTCGGCAAGCTTGGCCGACAGGTTCGGCCTCGCGCGTTTCTTGATCGAGAAAGAAAGACCGCCGGTCCTTCGTTCTCGAAAGCAAGCCGGCAAGTCTATTTCTCGGCCGTTGCTTCGGCACTTTGGTTGCGTGGACGTAAGCACACTTTGTGCCGAGTTCTTAGCCGACAACGCCATCGCCACGGCCACCGCCAACGCCATCGCCATTGCCATTGCCATCGCCATCGCCATCGCCATCGCCCTTGTTGTTGAATCGAGTATCCACGTCGTTGGAATATTAATTCACTGATCATTAGAATAAGTAAAAAATATATTTAAAAAAAGTTTCTCCCCTTCTACGACGACTTTTCGTTTAACGAGCTCGAATGGTTCATTCGTCGAACATATTTTATACGTTTTAACGATTTGAACGTCGACATTAGTCCGTTATAAATCTTAAATTAAATCGTAAATTTTGTCATAGAGAGAAACACGATCGTAATTAGTTATGTACGTTTTAGATGGCAAATCTTCCACTTCGTATATCTAACGCGAAGAATTATTGGTATATCCTATATATAATCGAAGTTATCATATATGGTATCTGAATGCTTACCTCGATATGCCATCGTGTCGTGATATGCGTCGATCGCGAATAATAATTATGGTATGTTATCGCGACAAGTGCCTCGCCTATACGAATGCACTTTCCAACTTCTACTAGTCACCGAAGATTATACCCGTTATGGGTATCGTATATGTATTATCACGTATACGTACACGTGATACATGCTCGTGAATTATAATTATTCGATCACGTACAACGTAAGCCGATAAATTGGTCAGATTGATTGCGACTCTTGATAAGAATCGTTCGAGTATATAATATTAAACGGCGGCTCGCGATAGTGAAATTGAAGGAAGACTTATGAAACGTGCTCATCGGAATGCGTGTCTCGTGTCGTTTAGCAACCGTAATAGCTTTTTATGATAAATTAGATCGAACGATAAATCGAAGAAATAATTTTTTTACGAGTTCTACGATGATAATAAACAAGACTAGAAATGAGACGTAATGTGTTTTTTTTTTTTTTTTTTTTTTTTTTTTGAAGAAAAAGAATAAAGAAAAGAAAAGAAAAAAAAAGCAAATTTATTTCTTTTCCACTTGTTCGTGGGTCAAGAAAACCTTTTGAAAAGGAGGGACCTACGTTTTCGAAGTCTCTTAAAGATGAGATAAAATGCGGGCCGTTACAATACCTTCGTTTGTCCTTGAATTAGAAGACCGTTCGAAGAACGTTTCTCACTTCAAATACGAACAGTTCGAAGAATTATAAAATTACAGGACTAAAAAATAATATTCTTACGAATATAATTAGAAATGAAAATTGCAAATTAAATCTAGGACACCTATTAATTTTATATTATACTATGTTGATACTAATGCACGAGCAAATGATAATGATAATTACGATATACATATTGTATAAAATCGTCTACATTTAAAAGTCATAATCCAAGTCCATTGAAGCGTTTCCGCAGGAAGTCCATTTCATGGAGGTCGAGGAAAATAGAGGGAACAAAAGTGCAGTCGTTCTCCTTCAATCTATTTCTCTTTTA